GCTGTAGACTTGCTGTTTTCTCTGCTTGTTTTGCATTGCTATATATCCTAGTGAAATCTTGAACTAGCCTTGTGGCCGCTTGTTTGTGCACTGAGTGTGTGGTGACTTTAAGCGCCACCCTGAGCCTTGTTTTGTTGCTTGCTCTTGACTAGTCTTGTGACCATTTGCTGCCACTTGTTTCTCTCCTTGATGCCCCTCACTTAGCCTATGGGGGTGTGTCAAACTATGATAACTCTTGTAGGCTGTAGTGAGGTTCCTTCGAGGGGGTATAGTTGTTAGGGTTGCATATTTGTATCCCATCCGTTTCTATTCCTACCATTCCGTTGTGCGTACTTCTTGAGAAGGAGCTAAAAGTTGGAGCTAGGAGCATGGCGAGAGATGGTATCGAGAGGGGAGATTGGCCAAAGAGGAGCACTAAGAGAAGATGAGTACAAAATATAGCAAGGAGAAAGCCACATGGTACACCACCTACAGCAAGTGAGATACACTACAGTCTACACTGCAAAGAATTAGAAAGAACGTATATCAATATATTTTAACACACCCTCTAACTGCCTACAGTGAAGAACCTTGTGCAGCAACACCCCTGAAGGGGTACACCAGGGCAGATTGCAGTAGAATCATGAGAGGGCAAGCGAGGAGGAGGAGAGAGAGAGAGGGAGAGAGAGAGAGAGAGAGAGAGAGAGAGAGAGAGAGAGAGAGAGAGAGAGAGAGAGAGAGAGGGGGTGGGCGACGGCTGAAGCTGCTAGCCCAAGGGCTACTTGAGCACTGGCTCGCGGACACTGGGGTACCTGGCTCATACGCCTGGAGCATCCCACTCGTACGGCTAGAGCAACGAACCCGACGGGTGACTGGAGAAACGGGTTCACTAGCGACTGGAACTGTAGGCTTCACGATGAGCACCCCCCTCCAACCTCTCCAACCTCCCCCCCCCCCCACAAAACAAATGGGACCGCTGGAGGAGCATAAAAATGGGGGAGGAAGCGGCTGGAAAACGGAGAGGAGAGAGGAGGAGGACAGGCAACTGGTGGCGGTTTGCTGGTCACCCCTAGCACCCCCTCATCTCCCTCCCCCTCACAGCCGTAAACACGGGCGCGAGAAAAAAGGAAGAGAAGGGCGGCAGCTGATGTTGCAGGCCGCCACACGCCATCCCCTGTCAGAATACTGAACGAGAGAATGGTTGGATTGAACAGAAAGTTGGTTACAAGTACTAACCCTAATTGGGTTGTCCTTTATGGGCTACCCCAAACTGAAGTGCCTTGGTGAATATATCAGCGGTGTTGGCCCGAGTGGCCACGTAAGCAAGACGAAGCTGACCACGCTGCTGCAAATCTCGAGCAAGGAAGTAACGCAGAGCGATGTGCTTCGTTTTGTGCTCCAGTCTGTGCTCCTGACACAAGGCAATCATGGCCTTGTTGTCTACGTACAGAACTGGAGAAGAAAGAGGCCACTCTCCCAAGTCGGTCAGCAAGTAGGTGAGCCTGTGCAGCCATGGCCCCTGCGTAGATCTCAGCCTCACAACTCGAACTGAGAACAGAAGACGAGCGGGTAGACCGCCAGGAAACAGAGCCGGAGCCAAGGCTGAAGGTGTAACCCTGTGACGACCGCTGCGTAGCCAAGTCGTCAACCCAAGAAGCGTCTGCGTGTCCAGTGAGGACAACTGGACCCCGTCCTCCAAGCACGAGCCCCATGCCCGAAGTACTGCACAAGTAGCGCAACACCCTCTTAGCGGCCTCCCAGTGCTCTGGTTGGTGTCTCCCGGGCGCAACGTAGCGTGCCAGGATGCTAAGAGGGTAGGCAAGGTCAGGTCGAGTGCAGGTCATCATGTACATGAGGCAGCCCACAAGCTCTGGATACAGGCCACTCGGCTCTACGAACTCGTCCAAAGGTGGAGCTGAGAGCGAGTGACCGGTAGGCAGAGGAGTGGACTGTGGCGAGGAGTACCGGAAGCCGAAGCGCTGAAGGACCTGGTGCACCATGTGTGACTGAGTCAGGGTGATGGTGCGTCGTGCTCTGTCCCGGGTGATCTGCAAGCCAAGATAGCTGCGCAGCTCACCCAGGTCAGTGCAGGTGTGTCTCTTCTGTAGCTCCGACTTCACAAGGGTCAGTGCCTCAGTGTCAGTAGTGGCAAAGACCAAGTCGTCGACGTACACGAGGACGTAGAACGGCGGCAGCGAAGTGTCGGTGCGTAGAAACAGCGACAGGTCAGCAGTCGAAGGAGCAAACCCAAGAGCCGCAAGTGTCGTCCTCAGTGTGTCGTGCCACTCGCGAGGCGCCTGAGGGAGACCATATACTGGCCACTGGAGGCTCCACTGGGTACCTGCAGGAAACGACCCAGTGAAGCCAGGTGGGCGGCGCAGCCAGATCTCCTCGTGCAGGCTGCCCTGCAAGAAAGCTATGCTGAAGTCAAGAGAGTGCAGCTCGTAGTCACGCTGAGCTGCGACGTGCAGCAACACCCGAAGAGTGGTAATCTTCGGGGTAGGGGAGAAGGTCTAGAAGAAGTCAACTCCCTGTCGCTGACTGACGCCTCGTGCAACGTAACGAGCCTTGAAGACAGACGGAGAACCCGGCGGCCGCTTCACCTTGAAAATCCACATGCCATCGACTATGTTCGCCCCAAAAGGGGGAACTGCGTCGACGTAGGTGCCTGTGGACTTCCAAGATGCCATCTCTGCGTCCATGGCTGTCTGCCACTGAGAGGAGTAGGGACCCGTAATCGCCTCTGCGTAAGAGCGCGGGGTCGGGATGTCTGGTGCATCCGGGTCTCCCTCAGGTGCAAGCAGCATAGCCATGAGATGAGGTACAGCAGCTGCAAGACACTCAAAGTCCTCCTGCCTCTCCTCAAGGACGTTCGTGCCAAGAGCACACTCACCCCCGACGGACGGAGGACATTCAAACTGAGACTCAGCAATAAGACTAGTGTTGTAGTCGAGACGACAGGCAGCAGCAAAGTCAACAAGGTCAGCAACTAGGGCAGACGCAGCACTGGACTCAAACGAAGGGTCAGTGACAGCAGTGGCTAGAAGACGAGGGACAGTAGGACTGGCAGCACGAGCTAAGTCAGACTCAGGGTCAAGAACGGCAGGAAGAGAGGACGCAGGAGGAGGCGGCAGGGGAACTCGCAGTGGAACAGAGGAAGGACGAAGTGCCATAATGTGAGTGCCGGGGACAGGAGGAGGACGCGGACGAGGAACACGACGACTAGTGCGAACATCGCGAACAGGCGAGGCGGGACGAGACTCATGCTCACGATGCTCTGTAAAAGAGTCTGTCTGCCCAGAGTAAGGAGAAGGAGCAGGCAGTGGGGAGTCTGGCCGTAACTGTTGCTGCGACTGGTGAAGCGGTGGACACAGCAAGCTAGGAGGAAGGCCAGTAGAGGACGGGAGACTAAGAACCTAGCGAAGGACCGAGCCATGTGGCGGCAGAGTCGACGGCAGCGGCGACACAAAAAACGGGCGACGCTGGACAGTGCCTCCAGCACCCGGACCGCCAGCTCCTGCACCCCCAGCGCCAGCACCTCCAGCTCCAGGGTCTCCAGCTCCAGGGTCGACAGCTCCAGCTCCTCCAGCTCCAGCGCCTCCAGCGCCAGAGTCTCCAGCTCCACGGTCTCCAGCTCTAGTGCCTCCAACACCACCAGCCCCGGCAGCTCCAGTACCTCTAGTACGAGCACCTCCAGGACCAGCACCTCCAGCAGTAACTCCAGCACCTCCAGGACTAGTATCTCCAGCACCTCTAGCTCCAGTGCCTCCAGCGGCAGAGTCTCCAGCTCCTGCAGCTCCACTCCTAAGGTGTGTGCGCTAAGGAAACCACTCACGAAGCTGCTGCGGTGAGAGAGGCTCCCGCCGGGGAGACAGACGTGGCAAGGCACCCGCAGGACCTCCAGTAGACGCAGTACCCCTACGCTCAGCACCCCCAGACTCCGCACCCTTAGACTCAGCACCCCCAGGCTCCGCACCCTCAGGCTCAGCACCCCCAGACTCCGCACCCTTAGACTCAGCACCCCCAGGCTCCGCACCCTCAGGCTCAGCACCCCCAGGCTCCGCACTCGCAGGCTCAGCACCCCTAGACGCAGCACCCCTAGCAGCACCTGAGTCTACAGCGACCTCGGCAGGCTCAGTCCCGGGGAGTGGGTCTACCTAAGACACACCTGAGGGAGTAGGACCCTGGGGGGGGAGGGGGTCTACCGGAGGGGGACCTGGAGCAAGGAAGAGCGGCGAGGGGGGGAGAGGGGCAGTGCGGTAGGGGAATAGACGGTAAAAGGGAACCGACTCGTCAAACGTGACGTCCTGAGAGGAGAGGACACGGCGCGAGGTGGGGTGGTAAAACTGCCAGCCAGGCGCGTCAGGGGGAAAGCCAAGGAAGACGCAAGGAATAGCGCGGGAGGAGAGCTTGTCCGCGAAAGTATCACGAACAAAGGCACGAGAGCCCCAGACCCGAAACACCGACGCATCACCAACCTTCTCCGTCCAACGCAGTGTAGGCGAGGTCTCTGGCAAGGGGCCAGAGGTTGAGCTGATGCGCAGCGTACCAGACCGCAAACGGCCACAGAAAAATGGGGAGCAGCCGCATGGATCATGGAGGTACGAGCCACCTCCATGACTAAGCCAATGCGGCGCTCAGCAATCCCATTTTGCTGCGGGGAGGCCGGAAGCGTGAACGACTGGAGGATGCCCTCCCCACGACAAAATTCCTGCAAGAGGTCGGAGGAGAACTCACCACCTCTGTCAGAGGGCAGACGCAGAACAGGAAGGTCCTCGCGGAACCGCTCGCGGAGCTGGAGACGTACTGCACAAGGGATCAAGACATCAGGGACCCCACCCTTGCTGCTCAAGAGGAAGACCGTGGTGTAACGCGTGTAGTCGTCAATAACCAGCACAAAGTAGCGCTCGCGGCCCTGTCCACAGTCGCGGGCTGGGCCCCACACGTCCATGTGGAGAGTCTGCAGGGGAGTAGTCGTCCGGGGAAACGAGGAGGAGTGAGGAGCGGCGCGCTGCCACCCCTCAATGCAAGGAAGGCAGGGCAGGGCAGGCGAGGGCGGGAGGGGAGGCAGAGACCTGGGAAGACAAGAAACAAGGCGGCGGGAGTGCATGCCACGAAGGCGTGGCAGGGAGGGGTGGCCACGGCGGTGGTGCGACAGGAGGCGACACGAGCAGGGGGGTGCTACCGGACCTGACGCGGACACCTGGGAAGACGCAGCTGCCTGAGGAGGCTCGATAGTCAGTGTGTACAAACTTGACCCAGGCCGACGGGTGAACGTGGCCAGGTGACGGCCCGTCCGTGTACACGTGCAGATCGACACACGCTGACCCCCAGGAGTGGTGGTAGTGACCATCGCATCCCGGAGGGCAGCGGTACTCACCAAGTTCGTAGAGAACGAGGGGAGGTGAAGACCTGAGTGTGAGCCGGACGAAACCGCCGGACACAGGAGAACAGTGGAGGAATGGGCAAGAACTGGGCCCCCTGAGGGATCAGTCAGTCTGACCGGTACAGGTGCAGAGAGAGGAGTGAGGGTGGTACTGTCGCGAAAGAAACAGGGGGAAGCACCTAAGTCAAGCGTAAAGGTGTCCAAGGCCTCAGCAGGCGCAGTACCAGGGAGAGCAGACTCACTAGCACCTAGATCAGTAGCCTCTATACCTGGGTCGGGCGGCACACATCCGTAACAGTCACCCTCAGCACTAACAGACAAGGCATACATCGCGGCAAGGATAGCATCATAGTCAAGAGCAAAGATATCAACTCCAGACCTAAGCAGCTCTCCCCAGCAAGGGCGCTCAGCCTCGTCACCAAACTCTGCGCGCCAAGCGTCGTCTAGGCGGGAGAAGCAGCGGTGCTGAGAGTGAAACTTCCCGCATGTCTGACCAGCACGGTCACCCATGCGAATGACATACGGGCAGCGAACACTACCCCCAGACGCCCCATGCTGAGCAAACCACTCACGAATCTGCTGGGGCGAAGGGGTCTCGCTCCGGCGCTGCTGCTGCTGCCTCTGTCCACCGCCAGAATCTCCCCTCTGAACAGCTCCACCCCGACTGCCACCACTCCCACTGCCGCCACTACCGCCACCCCCACTGCTGCCACCACTACCGCCACCAAAGCCCCCACTCCCACCACCACTCCCACTGCTGCCACCACCTCCGCTACCTCCACCACCTCCACTGCCGCCACCACCACCACCCCCGCTACCACCGCCACTGTCGAACTTATATGCTATAGTCTTTCTAGGCTGTAGTGGGGTAGACAGTATGGGGTACAGCTTTCTAGGGTTTCATATTTGTACCCAACTCATTTCCTAGTTCATTCATTCATCATTTCTTCATATGGTATAGAGCAGGTTCCCTAGTGGGAACTTTTCCTTAGGCCCACCACTAAAAAAAAAAATCCTGCCCTGAGATCGAGTCGCCCCTGACCGAGGCGCGTCCTGTGGCCCGCCCTCCCCTTAGCGGCCCGTCGCGCCGCCCTTAGCGGCCTCACTCACGGCCCCACTCACGGCCCCGTCGCCACCCTTAGCGGCCCCGTCGCCGCCCCCCCCTTGCGGCCCGGCCACCCTCTCGCGGCCCCGTCGCCCTTCGCGGCCCACCCGCCGCCCTTCGCGGCCGCGTCGCCGCCCTTTCGCGGCCCCGTCGCCGCCCTCCAAGCGGCCCCGTCGCCGCCCTCTAACGGCCCCGCCGCCGCCCTTCAGCGGCCCCGTCGCCGCCCCACTGCGGCCCCGTCGCCGCCCTCTAGCGGCCCCGCCACCGCCCCTCAGCGGCCCCGTCGCCGCCCTACCGCGGCCCCGTCGCCGCCCTCTAGCGGCCCCGCCGCCGCCCTCTAGCGGCCCCGTCGCCGCCCTACCGCGGCCCCGTCGCCGCCCTCTAACGGCCCCGCCGCCGCCCTTCAACGGCCCTGCCGCCGCCCCTCAGCGGCCCCGTCGCCGCCCTACCGCGGCCCCGTCGCCGCCCTCTAGCGGCCCCGCCGCCGCCCTCTAGCGGCCCCGTCGCCGCCCTACCGCGGCCCCGTCGCCGCCCTCTAGCGGCCCCGCCGCTGCCCTTCAACGGCCCCGTCGCCGCCCTACTGCGGCCCTGTCGCCGCCCTCTAGCGGCCCTGTCGCCGCCCTTCAACGGCCCCGTCGCCGCCCTACCGCGGCCCCGTCGCCGCCCTCTAGCGGCCCCGCCACCGCCCTTCAGCGGCCCCGTCGCCGCCCTTCAGCGGCCCAGTCGCCGCCCTCCAGCGGCCCCATCGCCGCCCTACAGCGGCCCCTTCGCCGCTCTGTGCGCCCCCCCCCCCCCCCCTCACCGGCCCTGCCGCCGCCGTCGCTGAGCCGCCGCAGCTGCAGCCGAGCCGCCGAGCCGCCACCGAGCCGCCGAGCCGCCGCCGAGCCGCCGGGCCGCCGCCGAGCTGCCGCCGAGCCGCCGAGCCGCCGAGCCGCCGCCGAGCCGCCGCCGAGCCGCCGAGCCGCCGCCGAGCCGCCGAGCCGCTGCTGAGCCGCCGAGCCGCCGCCGCCGCAGCTGCGGCCCTGTTCCTGCCGGCGCGCCCCGGCCCTCCCCACCCGGTCTGGTGAGAGCTTTCCCGAGCAGCGTCTCTGCCACTGCACTACCTCTAGCCTGCCGCTCTCACCACTAGACTGCTGCTGTCATGGCTACCCCTAGTGTCCTTACCTTTGATGCTGAGGGTCGGGGTGTTGACTTTGAGGTCTGGGTTGATGACTTGCAGCTTTTCCTACAGTGCGATAGGGCAGACGGTCTCTCCCTTTTCGATCTCACGTCTGTTGCCTCTCCTGCCCCGCCTGCTGATGCTGATGCCACTGTTCGCTCGCAGTGGGCCATGCGCGATGCTGCTGCTCGCCTTGCTGTGCGCCGCCACTTACCGACCGCTGAGCGCGCGCATTTTAGTCAGTACAAGAGTGCTAAGACCTTGTACGACGCTGTCGTTGCACGCTACTCTTCCCCTGCCACTGCTGCCCTTAGCCGCCTCATACTGCCGTACCTCTTCCCTGACCTCGCCGCTTTTCCCACAGTCGCTGACCTCATTACGCACCTTCACACTAGTGACATTCGCTACCGCGCTGCGCTTCATGCTGAGTTCTGCGCCAAGACCCCCCCCCCTATGTACATCACCCTCTACTACATAGTCACCCGGCTCCCTGACACCCTTCGCTCGGTCAGGGACCACTTCCTCTCTGTTTGCCCCACCACCCTCACCGTTGACCTCCTCGAGGAGCGCCTCCTAGCAGCAGAAAAGAGTATAGTCGCTGTAGGAGCCTCTCGTGGTGACCCTCGTACCCCTGTCTTTGAGGGGTGCTCCCCCTCCCCCCTCTTGCCCTCTGTTGCCTCTGCTGCTGCGGCCGACCTCGTTGGTCTTGAGTCGGTCGGTGCGGCGTCTGCCCCTAGCGGGAGACGCCGCCCAGGCAAGGGCAAGGGGGGCAAGGGCGCTGGAGGGGCTGGCGGGGGCGGTGGAGGCGGCGGTGGAGGCGGCGGAGGGGGTGAGGGTGGCGGTGGGGGTGGTGGCGGGAGTGGGGGCGCTAGTGGCGGCAGTGCAGGCGGAGGAGGCGGCGGTGGTGGCGGTGCGAGCGGAGGTGGTGGAGGTGGAGGCGGTGGTGGAGGTAGCGGCGGCGGAGGTGGAGCTGGTCGGGGCGGCTCTTCGCAGAGGGTCGGCTCCGGTGGTGGTCAGCGCCAGCAGCAGCAGCAGCAGCGCACTCGTGAGACCCCTTCCCCCCAGCAGCTTCGTGAGTGGTACGCTGCTCGTCAGCGGGGTGGGGGTGCTGGCCCCTGCACCTACGTTCTGCGTACAGGCGACCGCGCGGGTGAGCAGTGTGGGGGTCTGCACTCCACCCAGCGCTGCTTCGGCCGCCTGACGGACGCTTGGCGTCATCAGTTCCCCGACGCTACTGAGATCCCTCGCTGGGGCGAGCTGTCTAGGGCGGGTGTTGCTATCTTTGATCTTGATTATGATGCTATTCTTGCTGCAATGTATACTGTGACTATTAGTGCTGAGGGTGACTGTTACCGGTGTTTTCCGCCTGACCCGGGCATTGAGACTGCTGCTCTAGGTGCTGGTGAGGCTGCTGCTCTAGGTGCTAGTGCGTCTGCTGCTCCAGGTACTGGTGAGTCTGCGCTCTCACGTACCGCGTCGGCTCCGGCCACCCACACCTTCACCCTTGACTCGGGTGCTTCCCGCTCCTTCTTTCGAGACCGCACCACGCTTACGCCGCTTAGTCGGCCAGTGGCAGTCTCCCTGGCAGACCCCTCTGGGGGCCCTGTCCTTGCCCACTTCTCCACTGTCTTACCGTGTCCGGCAGCCCCTTCTGGCTCCCTGTCAGGTCTTTACCTCCCCTCGTTCTCTACGAACTTGGTGAGTGGTGCTGACCTACAGGACGCAGGGGTTGACCAGTTCACTCCTGCGCGTCAGCGAGTGACCCACTGTACGTGTGCTCGGACGGGCCGACACTTGGCCACGTTTACCCGTCAGCCGGGGTCGAGCCTGTACACGCTGACTACTGAGTCTCCTCAGGTAGCTGCGTCGAGTCAGGTGTTTGCTGCAGCGTCCAGGTCTGGTCTTGAGTCTGCCCCCTGCTCGTGTCGTCTCCTGTCTCACCAGACTCTCCTCTGGCACCACCGCCTTGGTCACCCCTCCCTGCCTCGTCTCCGAGGCATGGCCTCTCGTTTCCTTGTCTCGGGTCTCCCCCGGTCCCTCCCTTCTCTTCCTCCGGGGCCTGGCCCCACCTGCGTTCCCTGCGTCGAAGGGCGGCAGCGCGCCGCTCCTCACTCCTCCGAGTTTCCTCCGACAGAGGCTCCACTGCAGACGCTTCACATGGACGTGTGGGGCCCAGCCCGCATCCGTGGACAGGGTCACGAGCGTTACTTCCTGCTGGTGGTTGACGACTACTCGCGCTACACCGCGGTCTTCCCCTTGCGCGGCAAGGGTGAGGTCACTGAGGTGTTGATCTCCTGGATCCGCGCAGCTCGTCTCCAGCTCAGAGAGAGTTTCGGCTCGGACTTTCCTGTTCTGCGTCTGCACTCTGACAGAGGCGGAGAGTTCTCCTCTGACCTTCTGCGAGCCTTCTGTCGTGCACGAGGCATCCGCCAGACCTTCACGCTTCCGGACTCTCCGCAGCAAAATGGGATTGCTGAGCGCCGCATTGGCATGGTCATGGACGTCGCTCGTACGTCCATGGTCCATTCGGCTGCCCCCCATTTTCTGTGGCCGTTTGCGGTTCGGTACGCGGCGCATCAGATCAACCTTTAGCCCCGGGTCTCCATGCCGGAGACCTCCCCTGCTTTGCTGTGGACGGGGAAGGTTGGCAATGCGTCTGCGTTCCGTGTCTGGGGATCTCGGGCGTTTGTCCGCGACTTGTATGCGGACAAGCTGTCCCCTCGTGCTGTTCCCTGCATCTTCCTTGGCTTCCCCCCTGACGCGCCGGGCTGGCAGTTCTACCACCCCACCTCGCGCCGTGTTCTGTCCTCCCAGGACGTCACGTTTGACGAGTCAGTTCCCTACTACCGTCTCTTCCCCTACCGCACTGCGTCCCTCCCCCCCCCGCCGCTCTTCCTTACGCCAGGTCCCCCTCCGGTAGACCCCCTCCCCCCTCAGGGTCCTGCCCCCTCAGGTGTGTCCCAGGTAAACGCAGTCGACCCTGTCGAGGTAGCTGTTGACTCTGGTGCTACTAGGGGTGCTGAGCCTGCGGGTGCTGGGTCTGGGGGTGCTGACTCTGGGGGTGCTGAGCCTGGGGGTGCTGACTCTGGGGGTGCTACGCCTGGGGGTGCTGAGCCTGGGGGTGCTACGCCTGGGGGTGCTGCGTCTGGAGGTGCGGAGTCAGAGGGTACTGGACCTGCTCGTGTGGCGTCTGGCGGTGCTGGGCCTGGAGGTTCTTCGGGTACTTCGTCCCGGCGGGAGCTACTCTCTCCACAGGAGCTGCGTGAGTGGTTTGCCCGGTGCTGGAGGCGAGCTGCTGGAGCTGGAGGTGCTGAGGGTGCTGTAGGTTCTGCTACTGCTGAGGGTGCTGGTGCCGCGGGTCCCGGAGGTGCTCGTACTGGGAGTACTGGAGCTGCTAGGCCTGCGGGTGCTTCTCGTACTGGAGCTGGTGGTGCTGCGGGCGTCGGTGCTACTGCGGGTGCTGGAGCTGGACCCGCTGCGTCTTCTGGTGGTCCGGCGGGAGCTGGAGCTGCTGGGGGTGTTGGCGCTGAGGGTGCCTCTGGTGCTGGTGCCTCTGAGGGTACTGGAGCTGGCGCTGCTGGAGCTGGTGGTGCTGCTGGAGCTGGTGGTGCTGCTGGAGCTGGCGCTGCTGGAGCTGGGGGTGCTGCTGGCGCTGGT